AGCGCCCGCTCAGCCGGACGGGCTGCCGAGCCCCTCCTGGACCAGCCGCTCGCTGAGCGCCCACAGGGCCCGGGCCGTGTCTTGGCTCTGTGCCTCCGTCGAGGGCATGCAGCGGCAGCAGTTGTTGAAGTACATCCCTCCCAGGCCCTCCAGCTCCGGAGCAGCAGCACAGTAGACAGTGGTGGCGGCTCCCTGTTGCTGGAAATCAAAGAAAAACGACCACAAGAAAATGTGTAAGAGGTAATGTGATGACTTTCCTCCATCGGGGAATTAACAAGTGTCTCTCCCCACCTGGTTCAGTTGCAGCTGGAGCCCAGCCTGGCCGGGGGTCCTGAACTCGAAGCACAAGCCTGTAAAAGGTACAGTGGGACCCTCCAGGGAAACGAGTTCATAAACCCCACGCGTAAAGCCGGTGTGACTTTTTACACCTTGTGTAGGAAAAGACTTCGAAAATACATACATTTATCAATAAATCATGTCAGAGCTCTCTTCCAAAGAGGAAAAGAGGGGATCCCTTTGAACTCGCAAGAACAAATCCGTCCAAGTCCTTGACTTCTCAATGTGTAATGCAATGTGACACCTGGATGCTTCTAGAACTTTGAATTAAACCATCCACTCTAGTAATGGCACATCAGGTAGAAGAAAACCTAAGTGGGACTGGTGCCAGATTTTTCCTTATTCTTTGCCGACGGTGCTGCCAGGGGATGGCTTTGTGATGCTGTGTTAAGATGTTTGCAATACGCATACACACGTATTCTCCTCCTTCACCTGCCTCATGCAGACACAAACCCATTCATTAATTTACCCTGACCCCGTGGAACCTTTTTTAAAATGTCATATTCAGCCCATGTTTGCTGGGACAGTGGCTTGGAGTCCATTTCCTCCCAGCCCACTTCAACATGCAAGTTGTAATGCGTGCAAGTGATGGCTTCTGATTCACCTTTTGAGTACCAGTTGGCACTATGGCTAGGGACGTGTGTGCCGATGGGGCACCATTTCATCCAGGCTGACAGAACACTGTCAGGGATGCTGTAAAGAGGGCAAGAAATCACTTAGCTTTGCAAGCCATAATTAAAAATAATAGGCTGATGTTCGTAGGGAGACATGGTGGGCACAACTCTAATTTAAAACCAATACGGTTTATCTGGCATCTTATGATTATTTATGTGCATCACAGCCCTGGCTGCATCAACTAATTATCAATTGATAGAGAGGAGGGGTAGCAGAAGAGACCAGAGAAAGGTAACTGCAAGTAAGGTCACTATTAGGCAAACATTAGGGACTTTTGATTGATGGGGAAATGAATTTCTATCCACACCTGAACGCTTACTATTTTTCTGCCCCTACCAGGTTTAAATTGTGCCCAAGCAGAGTGCTTACTGGAGATCATCCCCTCATATGGTTTGGTTGCCATTCACTATGGTTGTAGGCTATAACCATCAGGAGCCAAGGTCATCTGAGAATCAGGGTGTCAAGGTGCTGTAATTTTAGGAAACTGCTATAAAGCAGACTTGGGGTTTTGGGGGGGTGCATAGGGGGAGCGTGCTTCAGTGTCAGGTTCTGTGGTCACAGTTGACTTTGTCTGAAGACCAGATTGTCAGATACACTCAGGTGACCTGCTCGTGGGGAGGTGGGTGGCGTGGAGCAGAATGGGATGAGACTTGGGTTCGGATAATAGCAGGTAACTTGACTGCACTGGACACGTCCCATGGGTTCAAAACGAACCCCTGACATGACTTCAGCTTCGTGCAATAGAAACTGGTTTGTTATTTTCCCAGCCCCTGCACCCATGCCTGCCCCCCGCATAGCCAGTTATTGTTTTGGTTTCTTTTCAGATTGATTCGTGTGGCTTGGGTCTCACGGACGTAAGTCCCTGTCATCCAAATTTCCTAATAACCCTTAGCTTAGCACCTGGCACATTTATCTAACCGATTTCGAGGGGCTGATCTGACTCTTCTGCCTCCCTGTGTGGGGACAAAGGAGAGCAAAGTGCGTCTAAAGACAAATGGAAGAGTTGAGATGGATGCTCATCCCCAGCCCAAGCCCAGCACCATCTTGGCCTCAATTCTGATCAGAATTCAGGGGGAGATGGTGTTTTGCAAAATGTTCTGGCTATCTGTCTTAGATTTCCATTTTCCTTTGCAACTGCCAAAACCACCAAACTGTGGTCGGGGGTTTGCCATCAGCTCCCAAGTGTGGTGAGAGAACCCAGTCAGCTCATCCCCAAATCCAGGCTCCCCCAACTCCGCCCCAGAGGGGCTATAATATCAGCCTTCAGACATCACAACAAACTGGCCTTTCACAGTTCCACCAATCCTGAGAAAAGATCACAGTTGGCCACTTGGAAGAGCAAAAAGCAGAATCCTCCCAAACCCAGTGTAATCTTTTGCCACGATGACCTTCTAAAATGATATCGTGTTGCTCTTGCTTGCATTCTTGGAATGGTATTTTTGCAGAGAAATTCTGCACTTCCATTGATTCCGAACCAAGCTGATGAGGGAGTGAGGGGCACGCATTTTTCCCTCCATAGACTCCGAAAGCACTCGCTATTGACCTCATTTCATGGAAACCTCCATTTGGCTACCGTGCTGAAAACCATAAATTTTAGAAAAGCCCTATCTTTTCTCCAGAGTTGGCTTTGAGTCCTTTGCCACTAGGCTCAGGGTGAGATGCAATTTAAAACCCGTCACAAGAGGCTCCGGCTGTGGCGAGGAACACGGTACCTACCTAGGGCACCTGACACAAAGACCGCCTTCTCCACTCCCGGGATTAGCTGTGCACATCCCACAGTCTCCCTGCCTGATTCATGCTCAGTTCAACTGGTACTCACTGTCCTCTCCTCTCCTCTCTTGCTGGACAGTTAAGCAGCGACAACATCTTTTAGTCCCAAGCCCACGACCCCTTTTGGCTTCTCAGGGAATGCTCTGAGCTGGGGCAGCCTCTGAGTGACATCTTTCCGTGACCAGACGTGGTGACAGTTTAATAACGAGTTCTAACTTGGGGCTCATCCCCTTTACGGTCTGCCTATCATTAGAATGAGGCTGCGCCACGTTAGAGAAATCACATTAGTCAATAAGCCAGCGCTGCTGATACAAGATAAATTTTTTTTATCCGTTTAAAAATGTTTGTTTTAAAAAAGCACTTTAATCAATCACTGTCAAATGACTTTCATGCCACTTTTGGGGGCATCGGTCCCTAATTCCCAAACGATGAAACAGCCGTATAAAGGAAACATTTTCTTAACAACTCCGTTATAAACTATCTGAAGCAGCGTCCTGCTGCTTGTCACCACTACTCGCTGACCCATCGTGATAAGGTAATAGCTATCTCTTGACATACAGACACTGGCTAGAGTTGTGGGTTCCCCTAATTTTGTAAGAACCGTTTATGGGAAGCGTGCGGGCTTTATGCAGTTGCTGGTCATGGGGACCGGGGGGGGGGTGGCATCTCCGCCCTACAGCAGTAGCCGTGAGCTGGGGTGTGGAGGACACGGCACCGAGGAGTTCTGGGAAGCCCAGCAGGACACGTAATCATGCCTGAATGCCATCTCTGATCCAGGCAAACATTTGCGAGCGGCCAGAGAACTCTGCCATCGGTCTTTACAGTGTATGTAAAATTACCCAGAACTCTTGCTCGGGACCAAGAGTATCTGGGTAGTAAGGGCCCATCGTTCTCTTTCAGAAATCACTTGTCAGAAGGGCAGCCCCGTCTTCCACTATGGAGAGGTGGGACTTAGGGAAGCAGTTGCTGTTTATTTATAGTGGGGGCCCTGAGATCTAAATCATGCACCCCTCGAGGACCCTTTGTTGGGATGAAAGTATTAAGGAGCCGCCTTTCATCCACATGTATTTGATAACCGCTCGCCATCAATTTGCAGCTGTCAGCATGGAATACAAATGAATATTGACTCTTTGAAAGAAAAAGGTACCGAGGTTTCTGATCAACAATCTATGGTAAGGAAAAAAAAAACCCTCCCACATATTAATATTTGTAATGCATTGGTTAGTCCTCGAATATAACGTACGTTTTAATAAGGACAAGTGTTCCACAATTAATGTTTAGTTTTCGGGTTTCAGGTTTCTCTATTTTAAAATGCATGCTTCTTTAAAAGAAAGAATAGATTCCTGTCTTAAAGTAGATTTAACTCTGAGACATATTAAAGAGTAGACACAGTCTCATGGGATATCTTTACGTTCAATGATTTTGAGAGTCGTAGGTGTTCTAAGATTGCTTTACTACAGACACGTGGATGTCAGGACGCTGCACAGCAAGTGCTGAATGAATCAATCTATGCAAAAAGTGGAACTGAGTAAGCAAAAGCTCAGCCCGGAGCTTGGACTGGACTTGGAACCCCAAGGGCAGGGGAGGGGAATAGCCCTTTTGCAAGTGGGCGGTGATGACTGTGCTGAATTCCCAGGACACAGAAGTTTGCAGGCATCCCAGGAAGGTGTCGAAGGTGCCTCTTCGAACCCTCAAAGCTTTTCCTGTAACTCATCTGGGCTCCGTGAAGCAAAGCAAAGCAACCCCTTCCCAAATGCAGAGCCAGGCACAGATTGAGTGGCCCTGTGGATCTGGCAGAATAATGCATCCCGGAGCCTGAACAGAGGTGAGGCGCCTGTGTCATGGGGAGAGAACTACCTACCTCCACACCCTCTCTGTCCCTCCCTGTCTCCCGGGAACGCGTCCTAAAGAGACTTTACGACCGCTCTCCCAGAAAAGTGCGCCGTGGCGTTTCAGAGTTTCCCCACCCGAGAACGTAGTACTTGGCGCACAGCTGTTCCTCAAAAATAATACGAGTTAAATCTCTGGTCTGAAAGGAAAAAGGAGGCTGCCCCGAAGGCTGTGTGTTCCCTACTCACTGTCCGAGGACAAGCTTTTAAGATGACGAGGGAGGTGCGGCTGGTGTGGGAACGAGGCTCCCGGCCTCTCCACTGGGGTGGCTGCAGCCAGCCCTTCACCCTGCTGCGCGGGCAGCTGAACAGATGGTTGGGGAATCAGCGCTCATCACCGAACATACCAGCTTCCACCGAAAAGCTGCGAGGCGGGAGACGGGAACAGGGGACTTTACTCAAAAGCACTCCGTCCTCCATGTCGCCCTGCTCTTCTGGTGGGTTGCTGTGGGCGGGGACCGTTCTGGGGGTGACAGCGGCTTGGATTTCCTGAGCGCGTACAGTCCCTGCCTCTGGCATCGTGCAGAGAGCTTCACGGCACCAGATTCTGACCCGCACACAGGTCCACAAGCCAGGGACAGTCGCTGTCCCCATTTACAGAGAAGCCCGCTTAGTACCAGAGGTGAAAAGCCACTGGTTCAGCGCCACCCAGGGAATCCCAGAGATTGCCCCTCCAAGGCCCACACGTGCTGCGGTACAGAACCTCCTTCCCAGACATGCGGCCCGCGTTTCCAGGCTGCCCGTCCCTGGGGCGTGTCACCCGTTGAGCTTCCCTGTGAGACCTGTTTGCCTTCCTCTCCGCCGCAGTGTGATGCCCTGACACGGCCTAAAATGAAGTGCATGGGCCTCGGTCATGTGTTGTTCACCTGAGAAATGTTAAAAGGAGATTTTCCCACTGTTGATTCAGGCAGTGAACTAAATTGAAATTCTATCCGTTTGGATTAACCAAAATTAAGACTCAGCACCATCTCAGAAGATCCAGGAGCAAATGACACTTTGCAAAACAGCCACCTGATTCAAAATGCCACCTCCGGGTCTCAGATTCACCCAGAGGTGACCCTACTCTCGGACGACGGGCTTTTTTCAAAAGAGTGACCGGAGCCACAGCCAGACCAGCCAGACCCATGCAATCTCCGTCCAACAGGCACATACATAGAAAATGAGGAAGGCCTTTTAGGAGGGTAATACTGACATGTTACAGCAGGTCTGCAGAGGAAACACTGACCCATCCCCGGGCCCACCCTCCCCCAAATAACTGCTAGCAAATTAATTCCTACCAATTCCTAACAGTGGATGCCCACAAAAGCGCTCCCACAATCCAGGCGCAGGTACAGGCAAACACATCCTGTAAGTATCAAAACATACCTTTCTCCATAGCCCTCAGGAGTTTTCACTAACTCACAGGCTGTTCTTCCTATTTATTAAGGAAGGGAAGTCCACTCAGTGCCTCCAACAGGAAATTGAAGGAGGTCAGGAGAGCAGATATCTGTCTGTAACTGAGGAGGCTGTGAGAGTCCGCGACAATGTTCTGGGGAACGCATTGAACTCACATTCAGATCTTGGCCTTCCCGAAGAGGGTGTGTCCCTACCACAGTGTGTTAGGATACTCACCGCTTGCCACAAGGAAACAGTTTCCCTACTAAAAAGAGAATTGCCAGGGTGGAAAACCTCAGAGGTTCCTTCACAGTCGATGGCCTCTCCCTGGGCAGGTGAAGGGCTGCCATCCCCCAGGTGACAGTGGGACACAGCCAACGAGGGGCTGACGGCAGTCGCTCCAGGGGGAGCTAAGCAGGAGGAAATGTCAGTCCACCACCACACATGAAACTGGTCCTGGTGCGGGACACAGCCCCAAATCACAGGGGACATCTGGAATGAGATGTCCCCGGGGAACGGAGGGGACACAGCTTTCACGGAGCAGCGTACGGTCACTCAAGAGAATCATGGAGACGGGGTGGACTTCTCGTTTGCAATTCAAGCACCTGGAATATCATGACCCTCCATCCGCACCAGACTCCAGAGACCACCCTTGTCTCCTTGATGAAGGGGCACGACTCCAGCAAGACCATCAAGGAGCTGTGAAGGACTGACGTGAAGACCAGGGCAGAAGCAGCCGCAAAGTCAGGAGGACGGTGCTGTCATCCTCTGAGAAGCCTTTGCAGGAGCCAGCCCAGCGACCAGGCAGTTCGGGATGGAAAGCTGGAGAGGATCTTTTTAAGGCAGAACAACACATTTGTCTTCACTAGCCTTCGGTTTCGGGGAGGGAAAGGCAGCCAATCCCAACCACCCGAGGAGGCCCAGGGCCATGTTTGCTCTGGGCGGGCCAGGCTCGCAGGCTTTTTGCTTAGCCTATCAGCCCGACTGCAGGGCACAGTGACCCTGGGAGGTTTTCAGCACGGTGTTTTCAATTTGGTGAACTGTTCTCAACGTTCCCTTGACATGAAGGAGGCCCTTTCCCTACCCTCTTCGTGTCCTGGAACCCTTGCCATAAACGTTCCAAGGGCTCCCGGACAGATTTATGGCTGGTCTCAAAAGAGTGGCGGTGGAAAAGTGAGGACGAGTTCCTCTTCCTGAGACCTACTGCTCTGGTGAGAGTTGAGATGTGCTTTGGTGGAGCAGGAAGGGCTCGGAAGGAAGGAGGGACAGAGGACTGGCTAAGTACAGTCCAGCTGGGTGACATTATTCGCTGTCAACTGTCTCCCATCTGAATTCCTTGGGCATCCCCTGCCAGCGCTGCCTGGAGGACCTACATTGCTTTTCAAGTAGGGAGTCCCCTTGCCGGGGACGGAGAACTGTGCTGGGGCAGCCACTCTTCCATGGGTGACTTTGGAAGGGCTCAGCAGAAGGGCCATAAAAATCTGCCAACAAAATAAGCATCATCCTTCCACATGGGACGAATCTGATGGCCCATTCCTGAAATTTTCCAAGGGGGCCACCTCGACGCTAGTGCTGAAGGACTACGGAGTGTTTATAGGAAGTGAAAGAAGAGATTTAGCTTGTGTTCATTTGGAACATTTCACATTTTGACTCTCCTTCTTGAACCTCGGTTCTAGCTAGCTCTCTGTATTGTATTTACATGTATGCCTCTATGTTTGCCATGTATACTGAAATAAACCTTTGAAATGATGGCCGGGCAGAATGAATGAGTTTGGTTCTAATAAAACGGCGCAGAGAACGTCTGCAGAGTCCTAGTGAGCCCAGTGGGCCCCCTCCGTGGTCCCTTCCCTGCACCCAGAGTCTCTCCGCCGAGTCGGCCTGCCACCCTGACTTCTGCAGAAAAGCAAGACCATTTTTGTGAGCAGGCAGGATTTCAGGGCACAGCCACAACATGCTGTTTGTTGCGATATTAAAATCAACAGTTAATTTACACCTAAGTCACAGTCTACGACATACCACTGAAAAGGCATGGCGTGGGCAGGGTGGGGGGGTGGCAGGGCTAAAACCCACAGGGTCTTCCCTGACGGGACCACGTCCTGGTGAGAAATGAACTCTTAGCTCTGTCTTCCAGAAACAAACTAAGGGAGGCTACCGTCACTGAGAGCTCGCAGGCAGGCCCCCGGGTCCAGCCCCACTGTCTCAAGTCTCTTGGTCTGTGCATTTTCACAGAGCGCTCACTCCAATGGATCATTTCTCAGGCTCAACGACGCTGGCCTTGTTAATATTTCATTTAGAACATACTGGGGCGAGTGGCTCATTTATATTACTTCCATAATTAATGGTGAGAGCTCAGGCACTGCCTTTGTACAGACAGATCTCGTCACAGTGGTCGATGGGTACGGAGAAACAATAGATGTTTCATTCACCAGCAGCCCGACGCTAGTTAGTAGGAAAATGATCATATAATGCCTTCGCTTTAATTGCCAGGGTAAATAATTCTGCCTCAGTGTTTGTTAGTGAACATTTTAAAGCACTTGATGCAAATAGACTAGAAACAAAACAAACAAAAAACTTTACCTGGATTAGGCAACACCTTAGCATAGAAAGTTACAAAGGTATTTCTTTTTTTAAAAAAAAATTGCATTCTATCATGCGAATAGTCTCTAAATATGCATGTGCTATCCACTCACCTACTGTATTTTAGGAAATACAATTAGGCCGCCTTTCTCTTCTCCTCTGTAGACTGTAAATAACTGGATCTTTCTCTTGTTTCCCTATGTAAATATATGTAAATACTAACAAGGAATGCATGCTGATATTCTAGGCAATTTCAGGTACTTTTATAATCTGCAGGCATGTACTTGAACTGGTTTGTTAAAAGAAAAAAAAGAAAAAAGAAAAAGCACCTCTCTCAAACTCTTTAAAGCTGAATAGAAATTAAAGGTTTCTTCCTAGACTGTTGTGGCTTCTCATTTTTTTTGTCTGTCTTCTCACCCCTGAGCATGCTTCCCCCCTCAGGCTCCCTCACCTTCTCCCAGGAAACGGCCCCTCGGGCACCCGCCGGGCCCAGGAAAAGTGGCTGACCTATCTGGCTTGGGCTTTCCCACACTGTTCCTTTGGCTTTCTAAAGAACTTCTAGAACCTTCAGATAGGCATCTGTGGGTTTTCTAGCGAAAGAATCCACAATAAAAATAATTACATCTCTTGTTCCCCTACTGTGTGCCAAGCATCGGGCTAGAGGCTTTATGTCCTCAAAACCTTGAGAAGGAAGGCTGTCGTTCCCATTTCAAAGACGCAGAAACTGAGTCACAGCACGATCAGCATCTGCCTAAAGTGACGAGACGATCAGATGCCTCCAAAACCCCAGTCCTTTCCTGTCTACCAAGACCTAAACTTTTTTTCTGCAGAGGCTGACAAAGGAAATATTCCAGGCTCTGTAGGCCCTACAGTGTCTGTCACAATTGCTCACACCTGCCGTGGTGGTTCTGAGACCAGCACAGCACATGCACACATGAGCATGGCTGCGTTCCAATAAAACTTTATTGACAACAACCTCTTCGCTCCACCCGGCGCTCAGGGACTCCTAGACAGCCCATTACCGCCTCCCTTTTGAGTATGTTTATAGGTTTGACGGACTGGGAGAGTCACGTGATCAACAGAAACTTCTTCCCTCTCTTCCCTGCAGGTAAGCACCACTATTTGTAAATGCCAGGAAATAACAGGGAGGTGAGCAAAAATCCAGTCCCGCAAGGTAATAAATCACACCTTCTTCCTCAGACAAATCTCACTGTCAGGCTTCAGTTTAGTTACCTTCTGTTTTCATAAATGGGGATGGAGGGGAAAAGTATGAAAGACTAAACTTGAAAAAAAAAAGAGATCCAGAGACAGTCTTCAGTGAGGCAAGGAGGCCATTACCTCAGGTATCTATGGAAACCAAGCGGCACGTAAACTTTTTAATGGTTGGGAAACTGCGCTTGCTTTTGAAGATGGTTTTTTTCCCCCAGTATGATGCTTCAGTGTAAATGCAGTAATTGACAGTTTCCTTCGGGACTTTTTTTATTGAAGTTCCCAAACTTAATTTGATGGCACAAGGAACTCTCTGGAGCCCTTGAAGAATGCTGCAAAGGTAGGTCTTCAGAAAGCTGAGCCAGCTCTGGCTTCCCGTACACATTCAAGCCAATTCCCCTGCAAAGCGAGGGAAGAACCGGCCCTCACTCTCTGTGATTTTCCCTTTTGAAAGCCCCCTGACTTCGCCGGGGATGGGAGAGAGCCATTCTAACCTCAGATGAACAGGAATCAGTATCACCCCTTTAGCCCCGGAGGGAAAGGAGGAGAAGGAGCGGGAAGAGGAAAGATCTGGGTATTTCTGCAGATAGAGTGACCATGTAAGATGGAAGAAAAGCCGAGGAGCTGAAGCCTGAGATAGATGAATTCGAATCCTGACTTGGCCACCTGGCAGCTCTGTGATGTGACACTGAGCCTCAGTCTCCTCGTCTATGAAATGGGCATGATAACAGCTCCTTTGCCTGGTTCTGGGGAAAGCAGTGATAACATTTGGCAATTTCCTGGGTACAGAACAGAGACTAGTCCAAAGGTGGCTCTAATTCTGATTATTAAAAATATCAAGGAGGAAGCACACAGTTCAAAAGATCTCAGTCCCTCATTTGAGGTACTTAAAAGAAGGGATGGGGTGGAAGTTTCTGCCTTTTAAGCAAGACATTCCAGCAGCCATCACTTTTCTCAGCAACCCTTGCCCAGCATCTCTGGGTACCAGGCTGGCCATGGAGTCCATTGCTCCTCTGGCCACAACAGCCAGAATCAAGGTCACATCCATGTCCCTGGGAGATTGACATTTGAACAATGGCCAATCATTTTGTTACGTGCTATAAAATTCCAGACCCTGCCCTGGCCCTTTACGAGTATCTTCTTGAAATCTCCAGGAATCCCTGTGCCTTGATTCCTAGAAAAGAGGAGGCACAGAATGACAGGTGAGCAAACCAGGGCAGAAGAAAATGCTGGAAAAATGTAGAATCCAGGTGGAAGGGAGCTGGGCGGTTGCTACCATATTCTTTCACATTTTCTATTCGAAAACTTTTCTAATCCAATGTTAGAAAAATAGATGTATCCGTCCCTGTGGGCTATTAGCCCCATTTTTACAGAGGAGAAGACTGAGACACAGATAAGGCGTTGACTGGCCTAATGTCCTCTACCTGGTAATGGTCGCTTCCCTAATGGGCCATGTGCCTCTCTCATACCTCGGAGGGGCCAATAGCCCTGCCTCTTATTTATCAGTCCAATTCTTGACTTAAAACATGAGAACCAGTTTCCCATCCTGTTTCCACCAGGAAGGCAGTTCTTGGGGCCCCCAGCTCAGAGCATTCAAGAACACAAGTGACCTTCGTAGGGTTGGAGGTGGATTTATATCTGTTTACTTGCTGGATATTTAATTTGGCTTTTGATTTTAACGCAGCATCTAAAGGCACAGGGTTATTCTCACTCACTGAAAACGTTCCACCAGGTTCAGAAATATGGAGGCCTGCCAGCACACTGCACACTGTGACTTTCACTTCAAACTCTGAGGCACAGGGATGGGCAGACCGCGTGGGAGACGCGCACAGTGAAAGTCAACCAGCCCCCTGTTGTCAGACACAGACTCGATGCCGTCACGGGCAAGAGGCGAGAGCTGCTGTGTCTGGACCACAACAGATGATGGCTGGGAAACCCTGTGGCCTGCCCTGCCCTCCAGCTTGCCCTCCCCTAACTAGCTATGGTGAATTCCACCTTCCAGATTTTAGCAGTGGAAGACAATTCCAGCCCAAGCCTGACGACTTGAGCAGGGAGCCCAGGGAGCCCGCCGAGCAGCCCCACTGGTTCCTCACTCCAGGTGTCAACTTCTGTCTTGGTCAGAAATTCTCCTCGCTGACCCAGCCAGCCAGCCAGCCAGCCCGCCCGCCCTCCGCTATCCCTTCCACCCCAGGGGAGAGGAAACCTGTAATATCATGTAGCTTCTGGCCTTCCCTCTAGACTCAGCTGTCACCCACCCTAGGGCCTCACCTTTAGCCAGACTGCCCAACCCAGGTGTAGTCTCACCACGGCCCTTTCATCATCTCCCGGCCACACGCATCCCTTCTCGGCCAGGTGAGTGTGACACGTAACAGCTGCAGCAGCCTTATGGGGGGTTGGTCCAGCCCCAACTGGCATAGCCAGTAACAGCAACAACCAAGCAGGAACCATCACGGTGACAGCTGCTGGTCACAAGGGCTTGCAATGCACCAAGGACCTAGTAGTACACACGATTCTCACAGGCACTCACCAGGTGTTGTCTAGCCGGAGACAAGGCCAATCCGGGCACGGTCGCTCATGGCCAGGCACCTGCGGAGTGCCCAGGCTCCCCTCTCTCCCCTCTCCAGAATCGAACCTACGACCTCCCACGTGCTAGCCCTGCACTCCACCACTGAGCTATAGCCTCAAGCTAGCTACCTCGCTTTCCCCACACTCACCTTTATCTCCCCTACTCAGGGGGCATGTTGGGTTCCAGGTTCCTCAGCAAAACCAGGTTCCATTTGTAGGTTAATCCACTCAGAGTCCTCCATACACCTTTCTAAGTTGCTACCTATGCTTATGAAATTTCCCAATGGTATCAATTAACTTAGGAGTCAATTTCCCCAGCAGAATTCTCTGGATTTGATAGACTTTCAGAATCAAGGGTTGCAACTCACTCTTCCTTTTGCTTAATCACAACAAAAAACTAAGACCAAAATAGGCA